TTGCAAAAATAGTAGCACATTAATCTTTAACAAGTTAAGTCTAGTAGTAGTACTGGCTGTAAGTACAAATAATGAAGGAAAGTTCTATGCAATACGGAGAAAATATAAACTGATAATTATTATTGAAAATTTCGTAGAAGTTTCGTAGAGCTTTTTAAAATATAGCATTTACATAGTCTAAGCAACTAGCGGACTGTGGATAGCAACTAAGGGCATGGATGACTAACTGCCTTGCATATTCAATAGTTTTAACTTGACTTTATCATAATATTACTATTGTTTTTCACCTTTTTTAGAAAATGAAATTGTGGTACGTTACATTAAAAATTTCATTTTGTTACGATAAAAGATCAATAAGACCAAACCAAACATCAGGGATTAAAGAAGAATAAATTTTGTTGTTTCAGTGTATGGGATTTGAATAAGTTGGAAATATTTTGAAGTAATCGGATCTCATAAAATTAAATAATATATTTGATAATCCACTCTACTACCCTGAAGAGTAAAACTCATCGGAGTTTAATTAAATTTTGAAGTTGGAAAACTTTTATTTTTTATTTTTTTATGAAATTAATTTTAAAGCAGAAAAAAAATCACATTAAGTTTGTGTTCAACTAAAAATTTAAATTTATAATAATCAATCTAACGAAGCTAAAAGGCAAAACTGTTTGAATATTTTTGCATGAAGCGAAAATTTGTTAAAAAGCTTAATTAAAAAAATATTTTAAAGCAAAAAATAACAAGGAATAAGGTGGTTAATTGATTTTAAGTATAAAAGATTCATTAATGTCTTCATTGTAAAATCTGATAAAAATATCAACAACTTGGTTACTGCATTCAAATTTATTTTAAACTGCGTAAATTTTTGTAATATTCGTAAAGGTACGTAGACCAAAACCCAAGCTATGCAAAAATCATCTGTGGAGTTTGTGCTGTGATTTTAGCCTATTATTTGTTGTGTTGAGAATTTAACATTTCCCACTTCATAGAATTAAACTAAATTTTTATTGATTTAAAAGGCTTAGATTTAATACAAATTTGAATTTGTGATTTATTTCATATTTTGTTAGCAATTTTCATGATTAAACACTTCCAACATGTGATCAATTTTATTAATATACGATAGGACTTAGTTAAGCAATCAGAAATAATCATCAAAATCTATTAATGAAAGCCTCAGTGCATAAAATTTGTGATAAAACGATAAAGAAACAGTTTTAATTTTACTATTAATGTTAGACGTATAAAACTTATGCCATAAAATAATTCAAAATATAAAAACCCTGCAGTGATTTTTAAGTAAAAAATAGAAATTTATTTTTAAAAAAATATCATCAGCCATTCATCGTTGAAATGTTCCTTTGCTGCATAAATGAAAAATAAATTGTAATTGTGTTAAACGCAATTAATAAAACATGAAATGAAAATGTTTTGCAAAGTAAATAGAATCTTTGTTAATATTGTATGTGTGTATGTGTTTGTTCAGCAATCGTATAGTTTCAATTGTGCACGTAAATTTTCAACTTAACATCGTTAAAAATAATTGTAGCGAAACGATCTGTTCTATGCTATAACACCTTTATACAATCCGATTTCACAATTTTATTTGAATAAAAATTTTATTATTTTCTTTTCCCATCCATTTTGTTTTTTTTCCGTACATTTTAATTATATAATCAAGTTCTCTTCAAAGAACGAACATTTAAAATAAAATTTTCATTTTTATTTGATATCCGTTTTTCCTTTCTTTCCATATTTTTCTATTTTACGTCACTATTATTCACAGCTCTAAATGCTTAATTGAAAATAAACGTTAAAAAGAATAGAATTGTTAGACAAGTTGTAAAAAAAATTGCACAATTGTTTTTTCACTTCGTTTTCTTTTAATGTCCAGAATTTATTTAAAAAAAATAAACTGTTTAATGCTGTCACAAGGACTTTTTATTTAAAAGGAACGAAAACTTTTTAATTTGTTCAAATATCATGTAGATTTTTTAGCATTTCTTATAGCTCTATAGAAATGCTTTAATATTAAGGAAACATAATCGGATTCACTATGGTTTGATGTGTGTATAATATCAATAAAAGAAATTAACAATTGACGGGCTAAGATTTTTGAGAAAAATTTTTTATTAAGACTTTAAAGGTTTAGATTATAAATTTTAAAAGTTTGGATTAGACCATCTACATCCCAAAAAAACGAAGTTCAAAAATCTTTTTTTGGACTACCGTCGACCAACAACGTAACATGATAGCCAGACGTGGAAATTATATTTTGAAATATACCTTAGATGCTTACTTATGATAACAAATATTTTAAATATTTGGAAATCTGTGTGCAATAATGCTTGTGAACATGTAAAATACCTTATTATTACCTAAGATTATTGACTAAACTCACTGTTTTAAGAACTCGTCTAGATTTACGTTATAAATTTATATAACTCCAAAAGAATCTTTTCTTTCTTGTGAATGAGCCGAAAATTATGAATTTTACTAACATTAAATTCTACCCATTATTAACACAATATAAACGGAAACTGTTTAATTCGTTGTTTGCAAGTACTAATAAGTTCCCATAGACGAAGAAAAATCTGAGGCAATGATGGATTAAGCTTATCCGATTTATATTACATCTAAATCATTCAATACGGAATGGCGTCCAAAACTTTACTTATACAACGTTTTGTTTCAAAATTTAGTTGAAAAATTTTAGTGAAGGTTAAAAATGTAATTGAGGTGGTGAATGGAAATGCTTATGCCAGTAAAATAAATATTTAAAGAATATTCCTAATAATTGTGTGATATGTTATTTTAGTGAAGCAATTTACAGCCAGAATTCAATATTCCTTATATCCAATCATTGATGATATCCAATATTCTCTAGACAAAGGGTAAATTTACAAAAAAATCTATAAAGACATGGAAGCACAGTTTACTCTACGGTCGTGCTTTTACTCTCTCCTGCGGTGCTGAGCTAATATTAAGTTTTTATAAAGGAAATTACTCGAATTAATTTTCAATTCATTTTACATGAAATTTAAGGTATAAAAGCTTCTTTTAATTATTGCAGTAATTTTGCGTATAATTTTTTTATGAAATAATTTTAATAAGTTAAATATTGGGAACTTAAATTGAATTTTTCGCATAAATTTTGGTATTGAAAATTAATTCTTTATTTTTTATTTAATAACTTACTAATTAATATACATATATAACTATTGATACCCTATCTTAGCGTGAATAAATACTTTCTTTCTCCAAGATTAATAAATTTTTGAATTAATTTGGATAATTATTTACGCGTCGCACATAAAAATGTATGAGGTGACAGATTTGCGAATCTACTAGGTGCGCGTCTAGTAGTCGACAGTGATATAAAAGTTTTCTTAATTGTCTCTGTCAGGTTCACCTCTTCTTTTTCCCAAAAACCAAAAACCGGTCGAAGACATCTTTCTCTGTTTAATTAGTTATACTTCTTTCTGTCACCCGTTTATTCAAAAACAATTTTCTAACCTTTAAACTTCAAAAAATTTTGGGTTTCGATTCTTCTGTCATATCACATTTCGCGTCTAGTAGAATACCAAAAACAAAAGTATTCTGATGTTCTCAAAAATAAAAGAAAATATTTTCGTTTTGGAAATTACCCAAATGAACTCATTATTAATACGTCTTCAAATGTGTCTACCCCACGTAATATTAATCAGCGTATTAAGGACCTTATCTACTTTCTTTTATCTCGTGTAATTACTAAAAAAACTTTGTAATTGAACTATTTATCTGCAATTTATAAATAGAAAAAAGCACAAGAATAGATTTTCAAGTATAAAATTGCATTTTTAAGTATTACAAGCCCTTCAACATCCCAAAATGTTTCAATTCAAAGAAATGGAAATTTTACTTTTTTTCATTTTTCGCAAATCGCAACACAAAATCGTGTTGAATTTTAAAGCATAAATTTTTTTTTACTGAAATGTTGAATAATTTTTAACTTTACTCTCAAGTTTTAAGCATTTGCTAAAATTACATTTCACTTAATTGTTTTCTATTATTAAACCACAATTAGTAATTTATAGTTTGCTCTTTTTTTAGGCGTTTTTATATAAGACCTAAATTAGTTGCCAATTTTGAGTGATTTCTATGAAAGCAAGGTGAAGTTAAAAATTGTTTGTATATGAAACGTTTATTTTCTTGTATTGTGGAAAAAAATTTAACCAAATATCAAGAATATTAGGTAAAAGCACATGCAAATTTGAAATATCAAGGGTATTTATCACCTTAATAAATTTTAGGTAGCGCTCATTTAATTATCATTTCCTTATAATAACATGCCGACATTGTTTGAACCATATTAGATTAGTTAAATTGGTCAGTGTGCGGTAATAATATTTTCACATTTAATTGGAGTATTTTTACTACATTTATTTTTATCCGTGGAAACGAAGAAGAATAATCACATATGTAAAACAATAAAGAAAGTCTAAATCAAATATTTTTATTTTTAAATGAAGACACCGACAAGATATTGCAAATAAATTTTGAAATACAAATCTTCTCCTTTAAATTCAGGTACACATTTATACAAATTACAATAGTAACTTAGTATCAAAAGGTATTCGTGAAAATCTGTGTAGGCCGAGGGAATGCGCAATATTCCTTAATGGCTCTTCAGTAATTTCTGAATCTGAGAGGATTTTCTTTTTTTTTTTGTTCTGAAAAAATGGACGATTTTTATTGCTTGAAGGATATACGAGTAATTCAAATAAAATTTTGTCAAGGATACTTTCAACAAGTTTTTTTATTATTTCTTTTTTTGCAAAAATCCAAAGTAGATTTAATGTGAAAATCTCATGATGAAAAACTTTACTTATTTTAATATAAGTAAAAAATTTTTTGATATTTTAATTAAAAAAAAAATAAATAAATAAAAAACAAAATTACGCAAAAATTTAAACACAAAATTAATTTCCATATTTTTTTTTTTGTTTTCGTATTTTCAGACAATCAACTGCATGTAACTAAAGGATCCAATTTTCCAAGTATAAAAGAAAAATAAAGAAACAAAACTCAAAACAAAAATTTAACAAATCAAAACACCAAAAATTTTTTACAAATAACCAAAACAATTTTTCATTTGTTTTTCAATTCTTTTTATTAAAAAATATCCAATAGTAACATTATTTAATAACGAATTAAAAATTAAAATAATAATAACAACAACATTAAAAAAAAAGTTATTATCAAAATGAGACGAGCCTCTTTTACACCGATTTTTAATGCTAGTGCCCAAGAACCTTTAATTGTAGTGGAAGAATCAAATACCGGTGAAGAAGGTGATGAAACAAATTTAGAACAAAAAAATTCAAATAGTGACGAATCAGAACCACAGTCTCCTGTAAATCCATATTTATTATGTCCATTTAATGATCCTCATCAAAGGCGTAAACATTCATTGCCATCATTACAAATTACAGAGGGTATAACAGCAAGTCAAGTACGTCGTTTATCTGAAGCCGGTTCTGAGTCAACAACTTTAAGTACAAAAGAAGTTGAATTTTTGGCAACATTATCTCAACGTTCAGCTGGTCCATCATCTGGTGGTAGACGTCATTCAGTTGTTACAATATCACCAGTACCAACGTCATTATTCGGTCGAAATCGAAGGGAATCAATAGGTGTTATTTCAACTAGGTAATAAAAGTTTTTTTGTATTTAAAATCATAAATAAAATTATTTTTGTTGGATGCTTGAAAGATATTTTATTTTAAAAAATTTTATTGTCAGTTGCAGTTGCTGACATTTTTTTTTGAAAGGGCTTTAATTTTTTTCCTCTGTTTTGATTTCATTACATTGTAAATTTAATAATTTTAATTATTTCATATGATAAAATATGAAATATTTTAATAGATTATAACATCGGGGTTGCCTTACGTTCCATTTTTGCGTAACATTTAACAAGTCTGTATTTTCAAGAATTGCCAAATTGAAAAAATATCGTTATAAAAATATTCAATTAAGTTTCATTGTTATAACTATTAGGTTACTGATTAGGTTTTGTACTATCTTTGTTGCATTATACTAGTGAGCCGTACACAAAAATATTCAATGGATATTATAAATTGGCTATTTCGTTTGAAATATTAAGAAATAGGCATAAGTATATAAGTTTGATCAGCATTGAATTGTGGGTAAATTTTGCAATGTCTGCCCGTTCATAAGTTCGTGTGTCCTTCTATCTGTCCGTCCTAACTCAAAGATTATTTAATCAAGGCTAACCAAATTTTCACCATTTTAAAAAGACTGTTGCCATAAGAACCCTTCATTTGGATTCAATCAAAACAGTCTCGAACTAAATAGCTGCCCTGCAATTTTAAAAATAATTTGACAATATTACGGAAACTGCAAGGTAAAGAGAATTAAATTAAGTACAAATTAATCGAGAATTAGGCCCAGTATTTGATTAAAATTTATGGCTATGGTATGAGCTATGTGTGTACTTTAAAGTGTATAGTATTCAAATTTTGTTTAACCCAGTCAACTCTAATTTTTCTCGTTTTTCCATACAATTTAGCTTAACTTACTCTATGAAGAACGTATTCATTTTCTCACTATGCGATAGTACAATATTTTTGTAAAAAAAATAAATCAGGACACTTAGATTCAATTTATATATAGATAAGGATAATTTCGTGTGTCTACCAGAAAATATTCTTTTATTATACATAAATTAAAATATTACATTAAATTTTTAATGATATCCAAAATCCTAATTACATAATATATTATTATTAGTTTGTGAAAATGTTTTACAGAATTAAAAATCGTGCACGTATTTTAAAATTTTTCTTAAAATTTTAACAAAAAGATCAAGTGCGACTACAATACGTTTTTCATTCTATGTACTTAATTGTACGTAATAAATCCATTTTTTGTAGGCTGTAGTGATGCTGTTGATACTTTATTACTATTATTTGCGTTCCTATCTTCCAATATTATTCCATAGAGAAATATTCGTTCTAAATATAATTGCCAAACTGTTACCATATCTCTAGTAGAATAAACTCCTCCATTAGATGCTCGACAAATCTGATTTATAAATCAGTCTTTAATCTTATTTTCAAAAGTACTTCAAGTAACTTTAATCATTTTATTTTAAATTCCATATAAATTAAAAATATCTCATAAATTTCATAATTTTATTTTATAGTCGTAGAGGTAGTGCAATTGCTGGTCCACCATTAACTGAACATCGAGGAAGTGTTCATAATTTACAATTAGATATTATGGATGGTATTGTACAAGCAAGAAAAACACGTTCCGGTAGCGGTATGTGGACGACATCTGTTAATGAGAATAAAGTTCAAGTTCAAACATAAAAGGAAGTAAAATAGTAAAAAGAAAAACAGAATAAAAATAACAAAAGTAAAAAACACCAAAAAAAAAAATATTAAAAATTATTAAAAGTGTAAACAAAGAAGAAATAATCAGTAAATTAAAATAACAAAAACAAAATTCAACAAATTAAAAATTGCACCTGCACATATAAAAAACAAACGAATATTATAAAAAAACAAAAAAAAAATTAAGTATTTTTAAAAATAACATTTAAAATCCTTTAAATCCTTGAATTTTTATTTTTCACTTTTCCACCTATTCTTCGCGCGCGTTTATTAAATTTTTTCCAATATTTTTTTTATTGATTTTCATATTTTTCTGTTATATGGTTGAAATAACAATTTCCAAATAAATAACAAAAGAACTATTCAAATATCGAAAAATATTTATTATCATTTTTTTTTGTGTTATAACCGAATTCAGTATTTTACACTGACATATTTATAGACACGTTTTGAATTTTTATAATATTGAATTTTTGTAATATTGAATGCATTAATAATACGCGGAGAAATTCAGATTTTTAAATAACGTGTATAACACATTTTTTATTTAAATTAATACTAAAATATTACTTTGAGAAATCTAACTTTATAAAAATGGAAATAGTACTTTAAGAATTTCGTATTAATTTGTGAATTTTATGTTTATAGGGTTCCAGTGATAATGCTCATAATCAAGAGAAAACGGAATAGAGAATATAAATTTGTTATTTAAATTTAATACTCGATTTAGAGTTTATGCAAGGTAAAGATGATGGCGCCCGAATATGTTCCTAGTTTGAATGAATTGTAGGACAATTTTATTGTGATTTTTAAATATTCTTCCAAAATGAATTAGTTAAGCAAAAAGAAAAAAAGAATTATATTTTTTGAATAATTTGATTTGATGTATTTTATGAAATTTAAATTCTATTTTCACAAATAATTATTAATTGTCTATATATTGAGAGGAACTTTTAATTGAATTTAAAAGCCGATTTTCGTAATTCAGATAAAAAATCGAAATTCTTCCCATTGTTAAATTTTCTAATTTTAAATTATAGTATCGAAAACTAAGAAAAAAAGTAATTATACCAATATTTTACATTTTTTACTATATTTTCGTTTATTTTGTAGTTATTGCATTTTTTACATAAATCGAATAATAAAAAAATTATTTATATTTTTAACAGATCTGTGTCTGTATCAATTTAAAAATTCTAAAATTTGTTCTGTTTTGAGTTGTATTATAAAAAAAAAACAAAAAATTTGAAAGTTGTTTTAAAAAAACCCCTTTATAGGAACGTGCTATAATATGACAGACACAAGGGGTATAATAAAAATCATTGAAATATTATATATGTACATAAATCGTGCAAAATTATTTATATTCCTTTTAAAAACAAAATAATATTATCATCTCTTGCAAAATACAAATTACTTAAATTTTTTATATACATGATATACTTTTAACTATATTATATGAGTGTATAATGCACTTACATTTGCAATTATTATTACTTAAAATTACAAAATTCATAAAAATCTCTTATGTATTTTCCAAAGTAAAATTTATCATTCATATTTTAATATCAAAAAGAATTACAAGTAAAGTAGGTACCTAGAAATGCATATATTTAATATATAAATGTATGCTTGTACTTTATCACGTCCTTATCTAAATTACCTTCCTTATTTTAAGAGCAATAATATAACACAGTACAAGAGAAAGAGAAAACACAATAAAAATAAGAAAAAAAAATATAAAAATATGTAGTTGAAAACACAAAAAAAAAATGACTATGAAAATAGCGCACTATAAAATATTTTTGTAATTTTCATTTTTTTTTTCTGTCATTTTTATTTGTATATATAACGGTACAATAAGATTGTTCAGGTGTAAAATTTTTTACTTTAACTATATTATTATTCAAAATGTGAATACATTAATTTCACCTGCCTGAATATTTCATATACAAAACTATTCAATATTACAAAGGTAAAAAGCGAGAAAAAAAAACAAGAAATAAATCGAAAAAATATCAACTCAAATTGAAACTTTTTAAAAATATTTAATGCATAAAATATACAACAAGCTAACAAACAAACAAACGAACAACAATTTAACAAACGAACATGTGAACATGTGAACAAACAAAAACAACACAAAAACAACACAAAAGAAGAGTGGAAGATAAACAATTTGAAAAACAAACCAAGAAGAAAAAAATATTAGAGAAATTGACTGAAAAAAAAATAAAATACGAAAAAAACAACAAAACAACAAAATTGAAATTTAAAATAGAAGAGGAAACAACGTGTGTCAAGAAAAGATAAAAAAAACATTCTATAATTTTTTACCGTTTACAATATTAAAAAAAAAAAACAAAAAGTTATTGGGAAAAAAATAACAAAAAAAGAAGGAGAAAACAAAATAAAAATGTCATACATCATAACGGATTAAAATAAAAACAAAAAAAAGTAAAAAAAAAATCGAAAAAAAATATGAAATCGAATGTAAAAATAAAATAAAAATGAAGAGAGGAAAAAAAGGAAAACAGAACAATAAAAATAATGACATTCAAGAGAATAGAAAATAAAAATATTGAAAGTAAATAATAAATCGTATTATTAGAAAGAGATAGAAGAAAAATTATTGAAAAAAGATATTTCGAGAATTATTATGAAAAAAAGAGAAAAAAGAGAAAGAAAAAGAACGATAATAAAAGAAAATTCTTAAATACCAAAAAAAAAAATTTTCATATTTTCCCCGATTTCCATGTGACATCCTGGTGTTTATTTTATTATGTGATTTTTTCGCCTGACAAGTGAATTATTTCTTCTAAGAAATTGATTTTTCTTTTTCTTTTTTGGAAAGGATTTCAAAACAAATATACCATATAAGAAACGTTCCTTTATATTTTCTTTCATGGTAAATATAATTTTATTATTGTTATAAAATATATAAAATAAATTTTCATGAATAGCTATAATTTATTTGCACATACATACATTAATACAATACATCACATACATTTAAACAATATTGTGAATTTAATATATTACTAAGAATGTGAAAATGTTACAAGTAAATTTAAATAAATCGGATAATCATAATATTTTTCCTAAAACTATTATTCCGGAAGAAGGATATATGAAGTTCCTTAATTTTATATGCGCATATATAGTTAAAATTATTATATATGCAATATGTATGGTACATATACATATTTAGCGATCATAATATAATATAATATTTTTAGCAAGAAGTCGGCTTATCGTTCACTCTGTATGTACGCTTGTATCTCAAGTTTGGTAAGCGATTTTCATGGAAATTATTATGTGATCTTACTTTGGCTACACGAATTGATCAACAGTTGAGATACGTCAGGCCTCAGGAATGATATCTTTACTAATAGTCGAGTTTGCATTTATCAACATTTTTAAGAAAATATTCAACAGTTTTTAGAATATCGAATCTTGCAAACCGAGTTTATTTTTTATTTTTTACCATGTCATATAATTAAATTTACGAAATTTGAGTTGTGTTTCTTACTGAAGGTCACTGAATTTATCAGGGAATTCGGATAGCATAGAGCGAAACTCTGCTAAAAGACAAATCCATATTTTTCTGGGTATTTTAACTAAAATATTACCAGAGTATTTAAAAGACATTTTCATAATCTTCTCTAATATTTTCGCTAAATAAATACATTTTCTTTTTACATAACATAGAATGCTGACAGAACTTAAATTGCAAATTTTTGAAGAAATTTTTATTTTAAATTAGAATGCTATTTTCATAAAATCAAAATATGTGCTTAAAATAAAAAGTTTGCAAAAATATTCACTTACGAAAACCTATCAAATAATACGTTCACTGTAATTTGTGTTCGTACAAAAAATTTTTTTAGTACAAAATCTATTCAACAAAAATTTTAATATAAATGTCCAAAATGCTAGTCAGATGAAAACTGGGAACAAAATACCAAACCAGAAACCGTTTTCAAATGACAAAATCCACTTTAAATGAGTAAGAATTTATTTACTTGCTTTCATGCAATTTTAGTCCATTTTTCATTTTAAATTCATATTCTCCCATAAGACGCTATTTCTGTTTACGAAAATCTTTATTTTCTTTCAGAAACAAGCTTGTGTGAGTGTTTTTTGGTCACAAACCAATTAACATTTAGCGGGTTTGTGTGTTTTGAGTTAAATGACCAAACCAAAAATTTAATGTGCGTAACTTACAAAAACATTGGCGCGTGTATTGAATTTTTTGTATTTAAAAATATTTGAATTCTAAAATTATTCGCCAAACCAATAGTTTAAAAATTTAAAAAATTTTAATAAATTATAAAATATTTTACGATACGAGACGCCTAACATATTTATCGTATAAGACTAAATTTTGAAATCGATCTTAGAATTTTTTTTCAGTATAACAAGGATAATATTTAATAATTTTTTATATACATTATAGCCAGTATTAAAATAATCTCAAGATGAATAAATTTAATTGTATTTCAGTTAATGAACCGGAAGATTACTCATTTTATTGATTATAAAAAAAGAAAAGAGAATTTTTTATTTGATTATTTTGTTTCTTTTAAGGAACTTGAATAAATATCACTGTTATGATTTTCTAAGAAAAGTAGTCAAGTGAACACAAATTTTTTTTAACAAATTATATGGGTATAATAGCAGTTATTAATATTTTTCCAATATTAATTATGAAGTGCTTTTAAATTTTAATTTTATTTAATTGAAATTTTCTGAAGTTTTTGTATAAGAATAAAGAAAAAGATCGAAAAAGTCTATAAATAATTAAAATATTTTGAACAGATTACTACTATAACCCCGAAATTATTTGATGGTCCATTGAAGGCACACTATATTTTTATTTTGAAATTAGTGATTAATATTTCTTAACATTTAATTAACATTTGCGTAAACGTAAATTCATTGCAATTGAAGTAATTCATGAATGCTCAGAAAGATTTGCAGTTGCGCAGATCCGCAAAGATATCTTACGGGAAAAATATCCTCCAGAGAAAGCTTTTGTATCTCTTTTAGGAGTAGAATGGAATATTAACAATTTCATGCTGTATATGCTTGTATTAGTTTTAAGCAATATAAAGACGACTTTCCCATGCTATTCAGAAATCCTTTTTATTTTTTTTTATTTTAACCGTTTTTTTCGTATTGCCGAAGCATCTTTCCAGTCTTCACCTGATTTTCATCGAGAATATTATAATGCTGAAATTCACTGGAGACTTATAACGCCAATTAAAGATAATATTGAAAAAGAAGAAAGTATCTATAGAAATATTTTTTATATTTTTACCCGAGAAATATTTTACAACTCATATTTAATTTATTATACAACAGTATTTGGAAGTATGTTGTTTTGCATCACCGAATTATCCTTCAAATGCTTATTAATAATGAATAAAATGTGGAAATATAATTTTGCTATGAATAATTTATGAAATGTTATTATTAAAAATTTAAATTTTATTTTCAATATCATAAAAAATTTATAATAGTCTTTTCATTTAAAATTTAAGGATATCAATCTTTATAAAAGTTTTGAATTCTCTAATGAGAATTTGTTAAAACAAGGGAGAATAAAATATTGGAGTTTTTGAAATTTTTTAATTGTATCTTAGGCTGAATAAAATATTTTTTTGAACATAATTTATTATTGTCATATGATAATATTCTCATCCTTATATTCATAAAATTAGATTTAAATTCATAAAATCAGTTCGGCCTATATACATTAAGATTGTTTTTCAAGATATGTTGTTGTTTGGAACTGGAATTATTACAGGAATTGGAAGTTTTATTGTTTTTACGAAAATAATTTATTTCTGTTGCTAGTTTAGGCACTGTTGTGTGATGCTCGAAAAATTTGGCGGTAGTCGATTTATTTTATTTTAATGTTATTCGGCTACCACAAAACAAATTGTCGAAAAAACAATACTTGAAACCTTCAACTTCACAACTTCTTATAAATACAATGATTTCTTAAGAAAACTCATGTTTACGGTTTTGAACAACGGAAAAGGTTTGACGTTTTTTTTTTGACAAATTTTGTAGTGCATTTAATTTCTCTTAAACACTATGTACGAATGCAGTGTAATTGTTATGGCCTGGAACCATATTCCATTACTGTAAACAAAATCTATGGCTTTGTATTATAAACAGATTACTAATACAAATAAGAATCCCGGACATTAAAACTACCAAGTCGTTATTCTTGATGACCGAGAATCAACGAAATGTAAAGCTCCAAACTGGGCCTTCTGTTAGGCTAACCCCTTAAAAATATAATATTAGCACACAAAATTCCCATAGATTGAGAAACATCCTAATTCTCGTTTCAATAAAACTTAGTAAAGTAAAAAGACTGTTTTCATTTAGCGCTTTCTTTAAAAATAATATTTTTGAAATCCAATCCATGTAATTTAAATTTATAAAATCATAGTTATTTAAACATTTTCTATTTTCTTTACAGATTATCTTATTTTACAAACAGCTCTTTGTTTTTTTAATTTAAAAAATAAATTTTAAATTCGAACTATTCACAATTCGTACATTTGTATATACTTACAAGTGTAATTTATTCATCTGTATTTATGTATGTAAAATATTAAAATATTATGTAATTATAAATACTGAAAATGAAGATTTATACATGTATAAAATAAAAATTAAAAGAAAAATAGAATGTGAAAAACCATAAATGGAACAGAAACATTTTCCATCCATACTTTTTCCCTATATAAAGTCTAAATAACTGCATAACTTTGTATGTGTATTTTTATATAATGCAGTATATATTTAATGTAAATATTAATTTAATTAATAAAATTATTATTATTACAAAAAAAAATTATTAAGTATGCTTAATGTCACCCAAAAAGGAAAACTTAAAAATTATTTAAAAAAAAATTTTTAATTAATGGTAAAAAATTTAGAGTATAACAATCAAATAGAAGACATGAGTGAGTAAAGGTATCAACTACAATTTTTATGAAAATGGAATTTTCCCAAAATTTCTTGTACAACAACCTGTTTTTCGTAAAACAAATTCTTCTCGTGTTGAAAATGAATGTTATTTTGTTATTTATTAGCAA